GATGTTGTAGTCACATGATGTTGTCGTCACATGATGTAGTCACATGATGTAGTCACATGATGTTGTAGTCACATGATGTTGTCACATGATGTTGTAGTCACATGATGTTGTAGTCACATGATGTTGTAGTCACATGATGTTGTAGTCACATGATGTTGTCACATGATGTTGTAGCCACATGATGTTGTAGTCACATGATGTAGTCACATGATGTTGTAGTCACATGATGTAGTCACATGATGTAGTCACATGATGTTGTAGTCACATGATGTAGTCACATGATGTTGTAGCCACATGATGTTGTAGTCACATGATGTTGTAGTCACATGATGTTGTAGCCACATGATGTTGTAGTCACATGATGTTGTCACATGATGTTGTAGTCACATGATGTTGTAGTCACATGATGTTGTCACATGATGTTGTAGTCACATGATGTTGTAGTCACATGATGTAGTCACATGATGTTGTTGTCACATGATGTTGTAGTCACATGATGTTGTAGTCACATGATGTAGTCACATGATGTAGTCACATGATGTAGTCACATGATGTTGTAGTCACATGATATAGTCACGTGATGTTGTAGTCACATGATGTTGTAGTCACATGATGTTGTCGTCACATGATGTTGTAGTCACATGATGTTGTAGTCACATGATTTTGTAGTCACATGATGTTGTAGTCACATGTTGTAGTCGTCACATGATGTAGTCACATGATGTTGTAGTCACATGATGTTGTAGTCACATGATGTTGTAGTCACATGATGTGGTCACATGATGATGTAGTCACATGATGTAGTCACATGATGTAGTCACATGATGTAGTCACATGATGTTGTAGTCACATGATGTGGTCACATGATGATGTAGTCACATGATGTTGTCGTCACATGATGTAGTCACATGATGTTGTAGTCACATGATGTAGTCACGTGATGTAGTCACGTGATGTTGTAGTCACATGATGATGTAGTCACATGATGTTGTCGTCACATGATGTAGTCACATGATGTTGTAGTCACATGATGTAGTCACGTGATGTTGTAGACACATGATGTTGTAGTCACATGATGTAGTCACGTGATGTTGTATTCATATGATGTTGTAGTCACATGATATAGTCAGATGATGTTGTCGTCACATGATGTTGTAGTCACATGATATAGTCAGATGATGTTGTCGTCACATGATGTTGTAGTCACATGATGTTGTAGTCACATGATGTTGTCGTCACATGATGTAGTCACATGATGTTGTAGTCACATGATGTAGTCACGTGATGTTGTAGTCATATGATGTTGTAGTCACATGATGTAGTCACATGATGTTGTAGTCACATGATGTTGTAGTCACATGATATAGTCAGATGATGTTGTCGTCACATGATGTAGTCACATGATGTTGTCGTCACATGATGTTGTAGTCACATGATGTTGTGGACCCTGACCACTTCTCTGTAGCCACACCGTATGTCCAGATAACCTCTGACCCTCCAGTAATGAGAATCGGGCCACCCCACTCACGGGACCGGCCTAACCCACGTGACCGGCCTATCGATTGATCTCGATGACCAGCGTGTTGAAATCAGATCAGTCCTGAGATGACGTCACCAATTAGCGACCCACACCAAGTCACCTATTTTAATATTACCAAAAGCAACTCACTCACCGGAGAACTATTTTTAGACCAACCGTTCAGGTAGATGAACACTAAGAAAATTCACAACAACCACCAGATGGCGCCTAATGTTGTAAATTTGCATACTTCACTTGAAAGCCAGAACGATTTTCCTGCTTTTGTCCAACCATGTATGGCTTTAGATACCGTTTTACGGTTGCCTGCCCCCCCCCCCCCTCCCCCGTAATGATGGCTTAATGAGGGAAATATTCAGAAATATGATGTTAGAGGGTTGTCATCTAGAGTTGTTATCAGTGATGTTAAGGTTATCCTAGGGTTGTTATCACAGTGATGTTAGAGTTACCCTCGGGATGACATCACAGTGATGTTAGAGTTACCCTCGGGATGACATCACAGTGATGTTAGGGTTGTCCTCAGGTTGTCATTACAGTGATGTTAGGGTTGACATCACAGTGATGTTAGGGTTGACATCACAGTGATGTTGGGGTTGTCCTGACAGTGAAAAAGATGTTGACCATTAACCCAGACAGAAGACCCTCGGTGGTGTAGATGGGACGGGGATGATTGTGATGTAACCTTTTTAAGGTCGTCCATAAATGACGTCACACTCATAGGGGAGGAGGGGGTGGTTAGTAATTTTGTGACGATGTTTTAGAAAGTGTGACGTCACTTCACACTTACATTTAAAAAAAAAAGTAATTTTACAAACGGAAATTAAGCCGTCATTTCGCGTTAAAGAAAACTGTACTTGTAAATTGTTAAAGAAATTGATTTATGTACTCTACGTCAACCGAGACAAATTATAGAAAGAAGTCGATGTTTAACCAAAGAAATAGCAATTTTGAGAAACCGGGTGGGGGGGGGGGGGGCTTTGGAGCCAAGTTATGTCGTAGGTGTGAAAGCCGACGTGACGCCTAGACTCACTCAGGCCACGTGATGTCCTACTTGTCACCCAGATCACGTGATGTCCTACTTGTCACCCAGACCACGTGATGTCCTAGTGTCACTCAGGCCACGTGATGTCCTACGTGTCACCCAGATCACGTGATGTCCTAGTGTCACCCAGACCACGTGATGTCCTACGTGTCACCCAGATCACGTGATGCCCTACGTGTGAAGGATGACGTATCACCCAGCTGTAGACCAGCACATACTTCACAACCCGTGCCCGCAGACGATCGGTTCACTTGTTGTTTAAAGTGTTCATCAGGGAATCTGCATTTCAAATCATTTGCATAACTAATGACGGGTCTATCTAATAAATGCTAATGACAACTTAATTTATCAACCCCTTCACCAGTTGATTTCACCAAGTGCTTCTGTTATGTGCTATCATCATACATCAAACAGATCTAGTTGATACAAGACTAAAGTGACCAAATCTTTCAACAAACAGATCTAGTTGATACAAGACTAAAGTGAACAAATCTTTCAACAAACAGATCTAGTTGATACAAGACTAAAGTGACCAAATCTTTCAACAGATCTAGTTGATACAAGACTAAAGTGACCAAATCTTTCAACAGATCTAGTTGATACAAGACTAAAGTGACCAAATCTTTCAACAAACAGATCTAGTTGATACAAGACTAAAGTGACCAAATCTTTCAACAAACAGATCTAGTTGATACAAGACTAAAGTGACCAAATCTTTCAACAAACAGATCTAGTTGATACAAGACTAAAGTGACCAAATCTTTCAACAAACAGATCTAGTTGATACAAGACTAAAGTGACCAAATCTTTCAACAAACAGATCTAGTTGATACAAGACTAAAGTGACCAAATCTTTCAACAGATCTAGTTGATACAAGACTAAAGTGACCAAATCTTTCAACAAACAGATCTAGTTGATACAAGACTAAAGTGACCAAATCTTTCAACAAACTGATCTAGTTGATACAAGACTAAAGTGACCAAATCTTTCAACAAACAGATCTAGTTGATACAAGACTAAAGTGACCAAATCTTTCAACAAACAGATCTAGTTGATACAAGACTAAAGTGACCAAATCTTTCAACAAACAGATCTAGTTGATACAAGACTAAAGTGACCAAATCTTTCAACAAACAGATCTAGTTGATACAAGACTAAAGTGACCAAATCTTTCAACAGATCTAGTTGATACAAGACTAAAGTGACCAAATCTTTCAACAAACAGATCTAGTTGATACAAGACTAAAGTGACCAAATCTTTCAACAAACAGATCTAGTTGATACAAGACTAAAGTGACCAAATCTTTCAACAAACAGATCTAGTTGATACAAGACTAAAGTGACCAAATCTTTCAACAAACAGATCTAGTTGATACAAGACTAAAGTGACCAAATCTTTCAACAGATCTAGTTGATACAAGACTAAAGTGACCAAATCTTTCAACAGATCTAGTTGATACAAGACTAAAGTGACCAAATCTTTCAACAAACAGATCTAGTTGATACAAGACTAAAGTGAACAAATCTTTCAACAAACAGATCTAGTTGATACAAGACTAAAGTGACCAAATCTTTCAACAAACAGATCTAGTTGATACAAGACTAAAGTGACCAAATCTTTCAACAAACAGATCTAGTTGATACAAGACTAAAGTGACCAAATCTTTCAACAAACAGATCTAGTTGATACAAGACTAAAGTGACCAAATCTTTCAACAGATCTAGTTGATACAAGACTAAAGTGACCAAATCTTTCAACAGATCTAGTTGATACAAGACTAAAGTGACCAAATCTTTCAACAAACAGATCTAGTTGATACAAGACTAAAGTGACCAAATCTTTCAACAGATCTAGTTGATACAAGACTAAAGTGACCAAATCTTTCAACAAACAGATCTAGTTGATACAAGACTAAAGTGACCAAATCTTTCAACAAACAGATCTAGTTGATACAAGACTAAAGTGACCAAATCTTTCAACAAACAGATCTAGTTGATACAAGACTAAAGTGACCAAATCTTTCAACAGATCTAGTTGATACAAGACTAAAGTGACCAAATCTTTCAACAAACAGATCTAGTTGATACAAGACTAAAGTGACCAAATCTTTCAACAAACAGATCTAGTTGATACAAGACTAAAGTGACCAAATCTTTCAACAAACAGAGCCCCACTAGTCAGGACCTCACCAGGGGCCCACTAGACTAGTCAGGACCTCACCAGAGGCCCACTAGACTAGTCAGGACCTCACCAGAGGCCCACTAGACCACAGCAGTTTGTTATCAAGTCTAGGAACTTACCCCAAGACTATGGTTTTAAAATCATGTGCTCAACCACTCAACCACACCATTCCACTTCCTTAACTTGTATTGACAAATAACGTAGCCGATAAAAAAACATTTGGATGGGACAAATCAAACAGAGCAGTTTAAAATTTAATCATTGAGAAACTGGGCCATGGGGTCGTCCACACGTCGCTGCTTGAGACGGAAGGCCTCCATCTCCTCGTCTGTGGGGGCCCTGACCTCCACCAGGCTGTTGTAGGGCCGCTTTCTCTCATCCATCTGGAGCAGACGGCTGATCTTCTGGTCATGTGACTTCTGCTGCTCCAGGGCCTGGGGAGGGTTGTTAGCAAATACTGACATCAGGAGGACAAATACTGACATCAGGGGGACAAATACTGACATCAGGAGGACAAATACTGACATCAGGAGGACAAATACTGACATCAGGAGGACAAATACTGACATCAGGAGGACAAATACTGACATCAGGAGGACAAATACTGACATCAGGAGGACAAATACTGACATCAGGAGGACAAATACTGACATCAGGAGGACAAATACTGACATCAGGAGGACAAATACTGACATCAGGAGGACAAATACTGACATCAGGAGGACAAATACGGATACAAGGAGGACAAATACTGACATCAGGAGGACAAATACTGACATCAGGGGGACAAATACTGACATCAGGAGGACAAATACTGACATCAGGAGGACAAATACTGACATCAGGAGGACAAATACTGACATCAGGAGGACAAATACTGACATCAGGAGGACAAATACTGACATCAGGGGGACAAATACTGACATCAGGAGGACAAATAATCAGGCGAATACTGACATCAGGAGAACAAATACTGACATCAGGAGGACAAATACTGACATCAGGAGAACAAATACTGACATCAGGAGGACAGACACTGACATCAGGAGGACAAATACTGACATCAGGAGGACAAATACTGACATCAGGAGGACAGACACTGACATCAGGAGGACAAATACTGACATCAGGAGGACAAATACTGACATCAGGAGGACAAATACTGACATCAGGAGGACAAATACTGACATCTGGAGGACAAATACTAAGAACATGACATGAACTAAATAAGAGTGACATTTCATCAACTGTAGAATGAAACATCTAAGTAGAGAAACACGACAATGTAAACCTCTTTCAACAGTCTCTTTTTCCTGGTGTCCTCATCTTCTTCCTCATCCGACGAGGAATCAGACGATGATGATGATGATGAGGATGAAGACGTAGACGACGATGTTGAACTGTCATCAGATTCTGAATCACTGCTCTCCTTTTTATTTTTTTTCTTCTTCTTCTTTTCTTGCCGTTTTGTTTTCTTGCTACTTTTCTTTTTTTGCTTCTGTTAAAAAAAGATATTTGACAATGTCAACAAAAAACAAAAAGTTTACTCCTGCCTTAGGTGAGTGTTGTAGACCTCTCAGCCAGGTGAGAACTGACCTGCTGTCAGCCAGGTGAGAACTGACCTGCTGTCAGCCAGGTGAGAACTGACCTGCTGTCAGCCAGGTGAGAACTGACCTGCTGTCAGCCAGGTGAGAACTGACCTGCTGTCAGCCAGCCAGGTGAGAACTGACCTGCTGTCAGCCAGGTGAGAACTGACCTGCTATCAGCCAGCCAGGTGAGAACTGACCTGCTGTCAGCCAGGTGAGAACTGACCTGCTGTCAGCCAGGTGAGAACTGACCTGCTATCAGCCAGCCAGGTGAGAACTGACCTGCTATCAGCCAGCCAGGTGAGAACTGACCTGCTGTCAGCCAGGTGAGAACTGACCTGCTGTCAGCCAGGTGAGAACATACCTGCTGTCAGCCAGCCAGGTGAGAACTGACCTGCTGTCAGCCAGCCAGGTGAGAACTGACCTGCTGTCAGCCAGGTGAGAACTGACCTGCTGTCAGCCAGGTGAGAACTGACCTGCTATCAGCCAGCCAGGTGAGAACTGACCTGCTGTCAGCCAGGTGAGAACTGACCTGCTGTCACCCAGGTGAGAACTGACCTGCTATCAGCCAGCCAGGTGAGAACTGACCTGCTATCAGCCAGCCAGGTGAGAACTGACCTGCTGTCAGCCAGGTGAGAACTGACCTGCTGTCAGCCAGGTGAGAACTGACCTGCTGTCAGCCAGGTGAGAACTGACCTGCTGTCAGCCAGCCAGGTGAGAACTGACCTGCTGTCAGCCAGCCAGGTGAGAACTGACCTGCTGTCAGCCAGGTGAGAACTGACCTGCTGTCAGCCAGGTGAGAACTGACCTGCTGTCAGCCAGCCAGGTGAGAACTGACCTGCTGTCAGCCAGCCAGGTGAGAACTGACCTGCTGTCAGCCAGGTGAGAACTGACCTGCTGTCAGTCAGCCAGGTGAGAACTGACCTGCTGTCAGCCAGGTGAGAACTGACCTGCTGTCAGCCAGCCAGGTGAGAACTGACCTGCTGTCAGCCAGCCAGGTGAGAACTGACCTGCTGCCAGCCAGGTGAGAACTGACCTACTGCCAGCCAGGTGAGAACTGACCTGCTGTCAGCCAGGTGAGAACTGACCTGCTGTCAGCCAGGTGAGAACTGACCTGCTGTCAGCCAGCCAGGTGAGAACTGACCTGCTGTCAGCCAGCCAGGTGAGACCTGACCTGCTGTCAGCCAGGTGAGAACTGACCTGTTGTCAGCCAGGTGAGAATTGACCTGCTGTCAGCCAGGTGAGAACTGACCTGCTGTCAGCCAGGTGAGAATTGACCTGCTGTCAGCCAGGTGAGAACTGACCTGCTGTCAGCCAGGTGAGAACTGACCTGTTGTATAGCTTGAGCTGGCTCCTCTGTTGCTCTGCTCCCTGATGGGATGACCAGTAAGTTGCTCTCCTGGAGAAAAATAATAGGTTTGGTACATCATGGCAGACATAGCAACAGTTTCTGCAAATTATGAAATTACATCTGGTGCTTTTACATCATTTGAACTTCAATGTGTGGACATGTTTAACTAAAATATTTTAACTTCAGTGGTTGGAGAGGTTTATCTACTAAAATTTTTTAACTTCAGTGGGTGGAGAGGTTTAACAACTAAAATATTTTAACTTAATAAGTGGAGAGGTTTAACTAAAATATTTTAACTTCAGTAGGTGGAGAGGTTTAACAACTAAAATATTTTAATTTCAGTAAGTGGAGAGGTTTAACAACTAAAATATTTTAACTTCAGTAGGTGGAGAGGTTTAACAACTAAAATATTTTAAATTCAGTAAGTGGAGAGGTTTAACAACTAAAATATTTTAAATTCAGTAAGTGGAGAGGTTTAACAACTGAAATATTTTAGTGAGTGGAGAGGTTTAACAACTAAAATATCTAGCCCTTACCTCCTCAGCTTTCCTACCAGCCTCCCCGGTACAGTATGACTCCTTTATGTAGGAATGACAGCAAGCGTAGCCCCATTTCCCATCTCTCCAAAATGAGCCCCAAACTGACTGGAAGAGAACATTTTTAAAAACTTTTATGCTGTATGTCATGGGTGTTCAACATACAGAACTAAATGGGAGCGCTATTTCAGCGCAGAAACAGAGTACATGAATGCTAGAAAGTCTTACTTTGTGTTTGTTATAAACAGAAACAGAGTACATGAATGCAAGAAAGTCTTACTTTGTGGTTGTTATAAACAGAAACAGAGTACATGAATGCTAGAAAGTCTTACTTTGTGTTTGTTATAAACAGAAACAGAGTACATGAATGCAAGAAAGTCTTACTTTGTGGTTGTTATAAACAGAAACAGAGTACATGAATGCTAGAAAGTCTTACTTTGTGTTTGTTATAAACAGAAACAGAGTACATGAATGCAAGAAAGTCTTACTTTGTGGTTGTTATAAACAGAAACAGAGTACATGAATGCTAGAAAGTCTTACTTTGTGTTTGTTATAAACAGAAACAGAGTACATGAATGCAAGAAAGTCTTACTTTGTGGTTGTTATAAACAGAAACAGAGTACATGAATGCTAGAAAGTCTTACTTTGTGGTTGTTATAAACAGAGACAGAAACAGAGTACATGAATGCTAGAAAGTCTTACTTTGTGGTTGTTTTAAACAGAGACAGAAACAGAGTACATGAATGCTAGAAAGTCTTACTTTGTGGTTGTTGTTGTAAACATCTTCTTCATAGCGGGACTTGATGGCAGCTTTCTCCTGGCCCTTGATAACTGATCCTGTCCTAGAGTATTCAATGTAGTCTTCCTACACCACAGAGACAAGGCAACTGTTTATACAATTATTACTACTGTACTAGTCAGTTACAATTTTGTTCCATCTCTAAGCCTAGCTTCCCCCACTCCTTCCCCTACCACCTAAGGGTGACTATTGTTACTGAAATCAATTTTGCTCAGTGTTTGAATATTAAAAAAAAAAGTACAGTTAAAAAAATCTGCACAAGATGCCAACAACAACAACTTACTGTCTGTGCCAACAACTTACTGTCTGTGCCAACAACAACTTACTGTCTGTGCCAACAACAACTTACTGTCTGTGCCAACAACAACTTACTGTCTGTGCCAACAACTTACTGTCTGTGCCAACAACTTACTGTCTGTGCCAACAACAACAACTTACTGTCTGTGCCAACAGCAACTTACTGTCTGTGCCAACAACAACTTACTGTCTGTGCCAACAACAACTTACTGTCTGTGCCAACAACAACTTACTGTCTGTGCCAACAACTTACTGTCTGTGCCAACAACTTACTGTCTGTGCCAACAACTTACTGTCTGTGCCAACAACTTACTGTCTGTGCCAACAACAACTTACTGTCTGTGCCAACAACTTACTGTCTGTGCCAACAACACCAACTTACTGTCTGTGCCAACAACAACAACTTACTGTCTGTGCCAACAACTTACTGTCTGTGCCAACAACTTACTGTCTGTGCCAACAACAACAACTTACTGTCTGTGCCAACAACTTACTGTCTGTGCCAACAACAACTTACTGTCTGTGCCAACAACTTACTGTCTGTGCCAACAACTTACTGTCTGTGCCAACAACAACAACTTACTGTCTGTGCCAACAACTTACTGTCTGTGCCAACAACTTACTGTCTGTGCCAACAACAACTTACTGTCTGTGCCAACAACAACTTACTGTCTGTGCCAACACCAACTTACTGTCTGTGCCAACAACAACTTACTGTCTGTGCCAGCAACTTACTGTCTGTGCCAACAACTTACTGTCTGTGCCAGCAACACCAACTTACTGTCTGTGCCAACAACAACTTACTGTCTGTGCCAACAACAACAACTTACTGTCTGTGCCAACAACAACTTACTGTCTGTGCCAACAACAACTTACTGTCTGTGCCAACAACACCAACTTACTGTCTGTGCCAGCAACAACTTACTGTCTGTACCAACAACTTACTGTCTGTGCCAACAACTTACTGTCTGTGCCAACAACAACTTACTGTCTGTGCCAACAACAACTTACTGTCTGTGCCAACAACTTACTGTCTGTGCCAACAACAACAACTTACTGTCTGTGCCAACAACAACAACTTACTGTCTGTGCCAACAACAACAACTTACTGTCTGTGCCAACAACAACAACTTACTGTCTGTGCCAACAGCAACTTACTGTCTGTGCCAACAACTTACTGTCTGTGCCAACAACAACTTACTGTCTGTGCCAACAACTTACTGTCTGTGCAAACAACAACTTACTGTCTGTGCCAACAACAACTTACTGTCTGTGCCAACAACTTACTGTCTGTGCCAACAACAACTTACTGTCTGTGCCAACAACAACTTACTGTCTGTGCCAACAACTTACTGTCTGTGCCAACAACAGCAACTTACTGTCTGTGCCAACAACAACTTACTGTCTGTGCCAACAACAACTTACTGTCTGTGCCAACAACAACAACTTACTGTCTGTGCCAACAACAACTTACTGTCTGTGCCAACAACAACTTACTGTCTGTGCCAACAACAACAACTTACTGTCTGTGCCAACAACAACTTACTGTCTGTGCCAACAACAACTTACTGTCTGTGCCAACAACAACTTACTGTCTGTGCCAACAACAACTTACTGTCTGTGCCAACAACTTACTGTCTGTGCCAACAACAGCAACTTACTGTCTGTGCCAACAACAGCAACTTACTGTCTGTGCCAACAACAACTTACTGTCTGTGCCAACAACAACTTACTGTCTGTGCCAACAACAACTTACTGTCTGTGCCAACAACAACTTACTGTCTGTGCCAACAACTTACTGTCTGTGCCAACAACAACTTACTGTCTGTGCCAACAACAACTTACTGTCTGTGCCAACAACTTACTGTCTGTGCCAACAACACCAACTTACTGTCTGTGCCAACAACTTACTGTCTGTGCCAGCAACAGCTGTTTGGGCGGGGCCTCCAGGTACTCCTGCCCCCCGTACTTGTCCAGGATAGAATCTTTAGCAGTTTTCTTGAACTCGCCTTTTCTCTTCTCAAACTCCATGTGGAGCAGTTCCAACTTGGTGGGATCAGCCTGAAGGTGGATGTCATTGCCTCGCTCATAGGCTTCCCAGGCAAACACTGGACATAGGGGTTAAATAGGGGTCAGATGGGGGTCAGATAGGGGTCAGATAGGGTTAACATAGGCTTCCCAGGCAAACACTGGACATGGTCAGATAGGGGTCAGATAGGGGTCAGATAGGGTTAACATAGGCTTCCCAGGCAAACACTGGACATGGTCAGATAGGGGTCAGATAGGGGTCAGATAGGGTTAACATAGGCTTCCCAGGCAAACACTGGACATGGTCAGATAGGGGTCAGATAGGGTTAACATAGGCTTCCCAGGCAAACACTGGACATAGGGGTCAGATAGGGGTCAGATAGGGTTAACATAGGCTTCCCAGGCAAACACTGGACATAAGGGTCAAATAGGGTTAACATAGGCTTCCCAGGCAAACACTGGACATAGGGGTTAAATAGGGGTCAGATAGGGGTCAGATAGGGTTAACATAGGCTTCCCAGGCAAACACTGGACATAAGGGTCAAATAGGGTTAACATAGGCTTCCCAGGCAAACACTGGACATAGGGGTCAAATAGGGATCAGATAGGGTTAACATAGGCTTCCCAGGCAAACACTGGACATAAGGGTCAAATAGGGTTAACATAGGCTTCCCAGGCAAACACTGGACATAGGGGTTAAATAGGGGTCAGATAGGGGTCAGATAGGGTTAACATAGGCTTCCCAGGCAAACACTGGACATAAGGGTCAAATAGGGTTAACATAGGCTTCCCAGGCAAACACTGGACATAGGGGTCAAATAGGGATCAGATAGGGTTAACATAGGCTTCCCAGGCAAACACTGGACAGAGGGGTCAGATAGGGATCAGATAGGGTTAACATAGGCTTCCCAGGCAAACACTGGACAGAGGGGTCAGATAGGGATCAGATAGGGTTAACATAGGCTTCCCAGGCAAACACTGGACAGAGGGGTCAGATAGGGGTCAGATAGGGTTAACATAGGCTTCCCAGGCAAACACTGGACATAGGGGTCAGATAGGGGTCAGATAGGGTTAACATAGGCTTCCCAGGCAAACACTGGACATAGGGGTCAGATAGGGGTCAGATAGGGTTAACATAGGC